CAACAGGATTGACTTCCCACCAGGCACCAAGGATGAGCTGTCCAGAAAGGGAAGAAGGGGGAGCCCCTTTATCAGAAGCATTACTGATCCTCAAATGATAACCTAGATTTACGCAGGCCACACCAGACTATTTCCCTTGTCCCTGCAGAAATGGGTCATGGTTTTAATTCCCAGGCGCTGACTGACTTTAAAGGAACTTCTCGGGTCAGTGACCAACCTTCTGTGCTCCTTGCCCACCTCTTTGGTCATCTCAGTTCACAGGAGGTTTTTCAGCTCTATTTCTTTTATAAACAATGGGGAGGACATGTAGGTGAAAGGAACGCAAAGGGATTTCCCAGGACAATTTTGGTCCACTCCCTGATGTTTGCACATGGGCCTCAAGCTCTGTTTTCCCTACAAGCCTTGGAATATGCTCACTAGGGTTCCCCATCTGGATAACAGATGGTTTGCCTGCAATGAAAAAGGCCAGAGAATACCATCAGTCCTGGGGCCTTCCCCCATGATGCTAGCTTTCATTCCTTTGGCTCCAGCATAGGTGGCTTTTAGCAATACTAACTCTACTAATGTCATTTTCTGATGCGTGATCCTGGAGGTGACCCTGTGTTTTCAAAGGTTATGCCTACAGAGCACAAACTCTAACACATCCTACTAAGTTTGGAGGGTTTCAGCTGTGTTCCTGGTCATAGATTGTCAATAGCTGCCCAAGGGTCAGCTGAGCCAAATGAGTAGATGCTATGGCATAGGTGGTTTTTGGATTTTTTTTGTTTTGATTTTTGTCAAAGCAACTCATGAAGACCACTTACTGAGATGTGTGTATATGGGATATTACTCACATAATAAAATCACAGATCCTGGGATAATTATTCTAATTATAGTAGTCCTTTAGTATTTACAAAATGCTTTCCTCACAAAAACCTTTGGGAGTAGCTACAAATATTATCATCTCAATATTACAGATAAGGAAACTGAGGCAGAGAGTGATTAAAGTGATATGCAGACCTGGATTCAAATCTTCGGTCTCTATTTCCTAGCTGTGAGACCAGAGGCAAGTTATGAATTCTTCATTTTACAGGAGGAAACATACCCAGAGAAAGAAAGAGATTTGTCTATGGTCCCCCAGAGAGATTGGTGGTAGTACTGAAGTCAGGTTTCCTGACTCTCTCAGTCCAATATGCTTTTTTTCGTTTTTGTTTTTGAGGCAATCAGGATTAAGTGACTTGCCCACGGTCACACAGCTTCTAAGAGTCTGAGACCGGATTTTAACTCAGGTCCTCCTGACTTTCAGGGCTGGTTGCTCTATCTACTGTACCACCTAGCTATACCTCCTCCCTCCAATATGCTTTCCCTCCACAACACTGACTCCAAAATCCTACCATCCTTGTCTCTCAGCTTTGTCTTTGTGATGTAGCTTGATCAAAAAGGGGACTCCAACTCTTGGAAAACAGCTTCAGTACCTACTATGGTCCTTCAAGTCTTTATTTCCTTCTCCAGCAAATCTTCCCCTTCTTGGCAATGAGTTCTAACAGCCTTTGGCCCCGGAAATAAATATCAAAACATTGCCAGAGTGAGGCCATTGTAATTTGCATGTCTGGGAATATTATCTTCTTTTTTTTTTTAATCATTGAGATCATAGGATTTTTGAATTGCAAGGGACCAGTTTCATTGAGCTCCCTGTAATTCAGCAGTGGATTTCTAGATATGTTTTATGTGTGTCTGTTGTGCCAGTGAGTGAGATGAACAGATGGTGTATGTGTATATATATATATATATATATATATATATATGTATATATATATGTATATATGTGTGTGTATATGTATATTTTTACATATATATATAATTTTTTGCTTTTCCTTTTCTTTGCCAACTTAATAGCCAAATATTATCAAACAAAGAAAGTCTCCTTTATATGAGTTTGAATCTATTTCACATCATGTTTTTTCATCTTGTGTTTTCTCCTTTATTGCTCTCATGTTGAGGTTCAGTATTTTGATCAGTTGATCAATTTTCAATTGATGATTGAGTCTCAAGTCATCTGCTCTTCTCAGATTCTGAAAATTAGATCCAAACATAAGTGTTAGCAAATATTCAATCTCTTCTCAAATCCTCCTCCAGTGCTGTACCATCCTGTGGAGGTACCCATGGGTTCTCAGAGGCCCTGCCAATGGAATTCAAGCCCCGACAAAGACAAGTTGGGAAGGCTTTAATTGTGTGCCCTACAACAAATAGACCATATGTCTGCCATCTTAGGACCAGCCTAGCTAAATCGACCACCACGGAATGATTTCTTTTTTTTTTGGCTATAGCAACTCATAAAAGGCTGTTTATTATGGAGCAGAGGGGTGTTGTTATCTGCATTGGTGGAAGGTTACACTGATAAAATTACAGATCTTTACAGTACTAAAATGTATGTCAGTTAATTCGAGGAATATTTTTAATCTATCTACAAGCATTTATTGAGTACCTTACTGTGTCTGGGAACTGGTGAGGTAAAAAAAATGCAACAGTTCCTGTCTACTAAGAGATCAGTGTCACAGAACCAACCAGCCAACCAAGAGGAGAGAATATCCAAGAGTAGAGAACGCTCAATAGTGTCAGATGCAGTAGAGAGGTTGAGAAGGATGAGGATTGAGAAAAAGGTCATTAGAGATCACTGGTGCCTTTGGAGAGATCAGTTTCAGTTTAATGATGAGGTCAGAAACCAGACTGCAAACAGTTGAGAAGGAGGAGAGGAATGGAAATGAAGTGATGAGGCTGGTGGTAGGTGGAGAGGAAGACAGTTTCTCACCCCCTCCCTTTTAGGAATTTAATCTTGAAAGGAAGGAGAGAGAGAGGATAATAGTTTGAGGGGATGGTCAGATCTGGTGAGGGAGTTTTTTGGGATGGGGGAGACTTGGTTATATTGTAGGCAGTGGAGAAAGAACAGTAGCCAAATTAGGTAAGGACTGAAGATTGAGAGAGGTGATATTGGGGACAATCTACTAGGAAAAATGAGAAGGAATGGGATCCAGGGTACACGAAGAGGGATTGATCTTGGTGAGGAGAATGGTTACTTCTTCATCAGAGACTGGAATAAAGGAAGAGAGAATGAGGGACATTCTCAAGGGAATGAGGTATTGAGAAGAGAAGAGAGAGCTCATGGCAGATGCTCTAAATGCCTACTGTATATTGGGTGTTGGGGAGATAAAAATCAGGAAAAAAAAAAACAAACAAAACAAGTCCTCATAGAACACATAGTCCAGTAAGCAAAACTCAACCACATATGATCAGAGCTGATGACATGCTCATCGATATTTCTGAAGACTGTGAGCTTATCTGCCCATCCTTTATGGATGGCAAACCTTGGTTTGGGCTTGATGTTCTGAGTACAGGAGATGATGTCCAGATCACAGCCTCCTGATCATCATAGTGTGAGCTCCTGTAAAATGGGTTAATATCATAGGAAAATTAATATCATAGGGAATTCACTGAGTTCACTCATTGCATGAATAAGTCAAAAACACTTCTGAAGCAATCATCAGAATTCAGTCAAACCTAATGAGGCCTTCGCTGCCTTGGGCAGGTGAGCATGAAATTTAATTTGTGCTCATCTGCCCCAAACGGCAGCAGTTCCAAGTCTCCTGATGTAGTATCAGTGTCTCTGAGAGGGAAACCTACATTTCATGAGATATTCTCAATTAGGCCTTGAGACTTCTCTAATGTCTGCCTCCTGCAGACTGCCACATGCTTGCAGGTCAAAGGGACCGATTTGGGAGCACTCAGCACCTGTCCCAATCTGGGCAGTTGTGGTAAAGTATCTGCCCCATTGTGATTTTCTATTATATCCCCAAAACAAAGCTAATGAGTTGGGGTGGGTAGGATCAGGGAAGGGGGATGTGTGAACAGGAGCAGGGTATCTGTTCTGCAATAGTCAAAATCACACATAGAGTGGCCTTGTCTCTTTTTCTTCTTCTGCACTGCAAATAACTAAAATAGACTAGAGAGCTTGACAGGTATTTTGACAAGTACAGGTCATTAGGAGCATACATTTAGAGTCCATCAAGTCTAACTCTCTCATTTTACAGATCAGGAAACTGAGGCTCAGAGTTAAGTGACTTGCCCAAGGTCATATAGCTTGTAAGTTTCAATTGTGGGATTTGAACCCAGGTCTCTATAACTCCAAATCTAGCATTCTAACAGCTATACCACATCTGTTATTTCTGGGTATGTTTCTTCTGAAATGGCCATCCCATTTTAGGATAGCTCTATTTATCAGGCCCCTGTGGCATACATTAATAAGGAAGCCTGAAGTGTCTCAGGTCAGGGAAGCATGGCCGTTCTCTCTGTCTCTGGACTAGTTAAATATCTGTGGACTCAGCTGAGAAATTAGAGTGATCACATGCTCCAGCAGGGAGCCAGGACTGCCCTTCGTAAAGGTCCTGTAAGCTAAGCTAGAACCTGATGAGGCCATGATGTGGTTTGGTCAGTGACTGTGCAGCAGTTTCTCTTCATAAAGATTCTGCAGCCTTGTAGAGTGCAATGCGTCACTTTGTAGAGGAAAATAAGAACACTGGAGCCTTTTCAAATCCTGACTGAACTTGGAAGAGGCAAAGCTGCTGGGGCTTCTTGAAGCCAATCTGCGCCCCCAGCTCCAGGGACCCTCAGCGGCCACACATGCCAAGTTATGTGCTGGTTTCACCATTAGGAAAATAATAGAAACTTCAGGAAACTTCCTGTCCATTTTCAGCCTTGGAATTTCTATTTTACTCTCAATCATTTGGTGAGGGGGTGGAGGGAGCGTAAGAAGCATTATCCACATTTCATAGAGGAGGAAACTGAGTCCCAAGCTAACAAATGACAAAACCCTAGTTGTTACATCATATTCTAACATGGTTGGAAAGTTAACCTTAGCTTGCCACCCCCATCACCCAGCTTGGTGAATATGCAGAAGCACTGTACTTGCCACTCACCAAGAACATAAGTGTACATGTATTTTTTTTTTTAATCTTGTTTTCATACAGGCAACAGCCTCAGATTCCCATCACCACAGGAACGGGTGTTGTGTATCCTGGTGCTATTACCATGGCAACTACCACACCATCTCCTCAGATGACATCTGACTGCTCCAGCACGTCAGCCAGCCCGGAGCCCAGCCTCCCTGTCATCCAGAGCACTTATGGCATGAAGACAGACAGCGGAAGCCTGGCTGGGAATGAAATGATCAACGGTGAGGATGAGATGGAAATGTATGACGACTATGAAGACGAGCCCAAATCAGACTATAGCAGTGAAAACGAAGGTCCCGAAGCCGTCAGTGCCAACTGAGGAGTGTTTGCAGAATCAAAATGCTCAGACTGGGGTTTTTTTTCTTCTTTATTTTTTCCTGAACAAAAAAAAAGTCTTAAAGAGCCCGCATGCATTTGTGGCTCCCCAATTACATCAGCAGAATGGTCTTAATTGTTTCATAATGTGTGAGACAGATGGAGTTTTCCCTGATTTTTCATGAACTTGTGTTTTTTTTTTGTTTGTTTTTTATTTAGGTGAAGACATATATTAAATATGAGACATCGGGACTTGAAAACTTATCTGAATCCATAGCTGTCTTACCAGTCTTACTTATTTTTTTTTTTTTGGTCTTATTTTTTTTCTCTTTTGGATGTTGATAAAGGTTTAAGTTACTGTTTTTAGATGGGGTTAAACATTCTCACTCAGGTATGCTGTGCCGGCCTACAGGTTGTGAATGTGTTTTTATTCTGAATTATGTTAGCAAACAACTGCAGATTTCATCTTGTGAACGCGAGCAGAATGTCTGCGGGCACGCGAGCGCGGCTGCGTGCAGAGCACTTAAAAAAGGCCTCTGAATTCCATTTTTCCATGTGTAGAGTTGAACTTCTGATGTGCCAAACTTTTTCATCACTCTTGAATCTTAAAAAAATTTTTTTTTGAAAGTCTTAAGGGAGACACTGCAAAGTCTTAGACAATCCTTTGGCATCTTAAAAAAAAAAAAAGGATAACCACAGGTTGTATTTTTTTCCTTTTTTTTTCTTTTCCAGAAAATGGTAAAGTACTCAGGAATCTGGAGACAGGATATTGTAAGGAGTGAGCTTGGTTGCCACCATGCATGTACCCAACTGCTTTTGCCTCTCACTGTGCCATCAGTGTGTGACGTGACGTGACATGACATGATGTGATGTGATGTCCGCACAACAGAGCGATCACCAGTTATGAACAAGGCTGCTTGTCCCCATGTGAGGCTGCCTCTCACAACCCCCATTACCCCTTTGCCTTTAACCCTGGCATTCAGTCTTAAACATATTTTCTCTTAAATAATTTATTCATTCCAGAATGTCAAGGGTCCAATGATTATTTATTTTAAAAAGCATTGTTGGTGGCATTAACTTAACGATCCTTATTTCTACCCTTCTACCCCCAACCCCCCAACCCCCCCTTTTTTTGGTCCGCCATTACCTGCTACAGACATGAAAATGTATGTAAGGATTGTATGTCCCCAGAACATCTGGAAGCATTTCTTAAACATAATGATAATTCAAGTTAATATTTTTAAAGCCAAAAATATTCCTCCTTTACAGTAGGTAACTGGCTATAGGGCTGTGTACTTGCAACCCAGGTATAGGCCCTTACAGCTGAACAGGCCAGCCTTCTGACTTCCCATTCTATGTCTGAATTCTATGGGAGCTGATTTCAGCAGGGAGTGATGAGGTAGGCTTCAGGGGCCACCAGCAGCAGGGCCAGACAAAAAATCTCAGGAGCCACCCCCCATCCATGCTTGCAGGCTCCATGTTGGAGCTACGTACGGGTGAAGAGTGAGCCAGTCCTGGCCAGCAGGATCAGTGGTTGTGTAGGGTTTGTTTATAAAGTCCCAAGCACAGGGAGAAGTCACCCAACAGCCTCCATGCTGCAAGTAGAGAGGTAAATAGTGAGTCGGGATGCATTTGGGGAATGAAATGTAAACTTTGGAGGAGCCAAAAGGAGAGGAGGAAAGGAGAGTATTCCCTTGTGAGAAGTTCCTGCTTTTAGAACCAACAGCTCACGGGGAGGTAGAAGAATTTCTTTGGCTGCCTCCTTCACCTATGCAAATAAGTCACCCTTTCTGCAGCAAATGGAGTACACACACCCAGCCCTGTGCTTGTTTTTGTGGGGGTGTGCTCATGTGTGTGCATAGAATGGGAGATAATATACAGAACTTAATTCACCGTGCACATGTAGCACCCATCCCTGGAGAGGTCTCCTGCCTGGCTGTAGGGCCCCTGGGCTCCCAATGATACCAGCTCCCTCCTAGGTTCAGCAGCTCAGTTCTCTGCCCACCCCTATCCCCTTCAATTAGTGTGGATCTTTTTGCCTTCGCCTCACTGTCTCCGTTCAGAAAGCCAATGACCAGGCCTACTCATCCCCAGTGGGACAAAATACGAGCTCATTACTAGGACATAGGAACAGGGCTGTCAGATTTCTTGAGCCATCTCATCACTTGAAAGCAACTAGAGGATCTCTGTATTTATTTTCTCCAAACCCAAGGCCATACCCAATAGCAATAAACAGGTCCAGCTGAGAGGAGCCTGAGCTCCGGGCTCCCATTAGCTGGTGAACGCTCTCTACAAGCTGATTGATATAGGTACTGATAGACAAGCTGTGTTCTTACATCAGTTGGGGATCAGAACTTTGTTTGAATTCGTTTTTGCTCAGAAGAGGAGGAGGAGGAGGAGGAGGAGGAGGAGGATTACTCACTAAAGATGGACTATTTATTATATCGTCTTACTGACTTAGCCAGTTGGTCACCTCTCCTTAGTTCTCTTTCTCTTACCCAACCCCTGCCCTCCCCCCTTTCCCCACACCGCGCTTGCTCCTTCTTTCTTGGTTCTGTTGCATAGGTAGAGTGCTGTATGGCTAGCATTGTGTCGTCTGTAATTAATTTTGCACAAAAGCAAACATTTAGAGTAGTTGGTTAATTTTGTTTTGTTTTTATGACCATGCCAAAATAATATTCTGGGCTGGTGGAGAACAAAGGACTGTTCTTTAGGACTGAAACTTGATTTTGCTCGTAGTACAAACACACACACACACACACACACACACACACACACACACTCACAGATGTTGTTTTGTAAGTGTTATAAGCACTGGATATAAATGGTATTTTTTATCACTTCTGACTAATGTGAAACTGTTGTACGAAAAATACATGAACAAAAGTCATCTGTTTCGACTCGTGTGGGCTTGCCCCGCAGTTGCCGGATTTGAGTCATTTTATGTCTTGTTATTTCATTTATTTATGCAAAATCCATGCGTGTATGAACACTTTGTTGGAACCGCAGCCCCCGCCTGCCTCAGCGCTGGGGTTCGGTCACTTCTAGCCACGTTCTTCAAAAATGAAAGGCTGTTCAGGAAGGATCTGATTGTAAACGTCTCATTCATTCGTTGGGTCAGACGGGAAGGTTGTATCTGGATCTCAATGTTGCGCATAAGCAATTTATTGTATTTATTAGCCAACTTTGGCTCTAAATGTCGGTGGAAATTAAGAAAGGACAATCGTAGCGATAGCTTCATTTTACTTTTATCGGGGCTCGAAACAAAGTCTTTTGATGAATCTACCATCTCATTTTAGATTTTTTTTAAAAGTGTAAATATAACATAGGAAATAGAATTTTATTTTTGGTTCATGAATAATTAGTGAAGTATAAGTTATGTATTTACTTTTTTCTGTTCTGTATCCATGTATATTGGTCCATATTAAAAGCTGACAAGTCACTGTACCTCATGCAAATGCTGAATTATCAGAGTGAGAGAGCCGTGAGAGCTCAGGCTTGGACCTCTAGCAAGACCCCTCACTTGGGCTCTCACTGAATTTAGAAGACACCGTCCACAGACACAGACTTTTTCTTTTTTTTTTAATATAGAAAGTTGATACATCGAAAATGCCAAATTTCCAGGATAGCTGGTAGGAAACTCAATTTGCTTTTGTGAATCCAGGCAGAATGCATGAACTAGTCCTGTTACTGTTTGATAGCAGAAAGCATGAATAGCATTTGGAAAGCAAAAAAAAAAAAAAGAAAAAAAAGCAAAAAAAAAGACGTCTGAAGATTAGACTCATTAATAAAGCCCCACCCCCTGCTCTGCCCCCACCATACCCAAATACTGAATAGTTTGAATAATATGAGACTCCATATTTCTGTGTCCATTAGTTCATGGTATTGTCATATCGCAGACGAAAATGATTTACACATTGTAAGAGGACGTGTGGGGCTTTTCCCTATCACTTGGAGTTGGGGCACCGGCAGGAAATACTCTTTTTAACCATTGTGCCATGTAGTTAATGGTGGGATAATATATACATAATATATGTATATATACACACATATTCATACACATAGATACATATAGATATGCATATATGCGTATGTATATATGTGTATATATGTGATATGTATATATATACATGTGTACATATTGCTTTTGTCCACAGACTTTGCCCCATCTCCTGAAATTGTGTAATTGTGAGGGAGTGGTTGGGGCAGGAAGTCTGTGGACAAAAGCCATCAGGCTATTCCTGTGCTTAATGAACAAATGTGGTGTTTTTCTGTTTGGGACAATTATAAAACGTTTCTTGTTTTCAAAAATACCCAAATCACGACAAAATCTAACCCCGTCCACTCCCATGGTTCTCCTTTGGGAAGCAGTGGCCCCAGGAAGAGGCTTGATCAGAACCCCCAGGTGGGTCCTCCCACATCTGGTTCCTGAGTTTATCTAAGGAAAGGCTGAAGATGGCTGCCTTCGCAACCTGGTATGCATTAGGCCTGTGGAACACCAGGGTATTTATTTATCAGAGGGCCAGTGAGTTACCTTGTAGTGTCAAAGTTGAAATAAAAGGCTGCATTCTTTCCCTTTGGAAAGGTTGGGGGTGAGGGGTGGCAAGTTACTCCAAACATTCTCACCTAGGGCAAGGAGTGGGTGAGTCTTCCAAGGCCCCCCGCTGTTTAGAGCACGCCTCTTGATCCCCTGAGGAGAAACTCATTCTAGCCCCAGCACCTCCAGTTTGGCCTAATTGTTTTGTAAGATGATTTTCCCGAGTAGTTGACAAGAAAGGTCACTTTGCCATTTGAGACCATGCAAGATACCCTGTGCCCAGTGCCATTGAATTGCCCAAGAATTGCAGCTGGTTAAATGAAATCTGATGCTTTCCTGGGTATTCATTTTTCATATAAAAAGGGACAAATGGTGCCCCCTCTCTGAGGGACTTTCCATTGGTGTTCATTTAAGAATGGACTTGGCACTCACATCCATTCTTCTCAAAGAATAATTGTGTCTGACCTCATCTGCCCTCCTACAAAGCACTTGTTTCATTGCCTTCTTGCGCCACCCCCCCTCCTGACATGCTTTTCTTAATAAATGAATTCTCTCTGTGATTCCTTTTGACCATGTTCCATTTTTCTTATACTGTTAGGACCCCAAGGTGAATGTGATATAATAATTGATCATCAGAAATATCAATATG